GTTAGAGAGCTCAAGAAAGAATTTGGGAATTTCATTAACATCATCATCGTCCTCTCACTTTTACTATGCCAAATTCTTGTGGCACATTTTATTTATCCTGCCAACAACCAATTATAGTTCATAGGATGACTCAGACCCAGGGATATGTTACTTGCAGTTTGAGGCCACACAAATCCTTTCCCTGAGTCAAAAATGCCCTAATATGCCCACTGACTATCTTTCTAAGGTTCTCAGGGGGTCCCTGAGACACTTCTACAGTGAGTTATGAAGCACTCTTATGCTGGGTTATCAAAGCCCCTCTAAAGCCTGATGTTTCATACTCAGCCCCTTGAAGGAGACTTGGCTTAGAGGTAGCCATCTGGCATGGGCTCATGCAGCTTTTGTGAAGTCACATGTAGTCCCGGAGTTGCCAGGAAAAAGGATGCCTTGATGAGCCAAAATGCAAATTTTCTAGGAGAGGAAAAGCAAAAGTGAGCTTGTTCACACTGTGCCTGACTCCAAGGAAATGACACAATGCAAGAGACACAGTGTCCTATGGTGAGGCTCCATCCGATTACAGCGACATTATTTTGCATTTGATCACCAGCTTGCCTCCCTATGGTTTGCCTCTTTGACCAGTAAGAGAGGCAGAGTGATCCAGACGAGAAAGAAGTTGATATTGAAAACACGAGGGCTGGGTGCCTCCGGACATTTAAAATGGCAGGGGGAGTACAGGGGTTAAGGCATTTGCTTGGAGTATAGCTGTCTCCCATTCCATTCTCCAAGCATCACCAGGAGCAAGACCCCAGAGCACAGAGCAGGCATGGCCCTCAGAATGGCTGAGTGTGGCCCAAACGCCCCCTTACAAAGTGTTTAATGCAAAAGCCCCTGGGAAGCTGGTCTCTTCTGGAAGCGGATTTCTCTCTCCAGTCCCAAGAGTTTTCCTGGTCTTGAAGATAAGTGGCTCGAAGCAGGTCAAGGTCAGAAGAAAGGGAATGTGGGTCTCCTCTAGTTTAATCCCATCTGAAAAGATTTTCTAGGCCCTTCACTGGGGGTACTCCCAACTTTCCTTAAATGATTTGTTTCTCCTTTTCTTTCCCTCTCTCTTTTTCCTCCCTCAACTTTTTTTTATCCCTTTCTCTCTCCGTATCTCGCCTTCCCCAAAATGTTTGTGCCATTGGCCTACCCTGGCTCACATCTCACTGAGAGGCCTTCTGTGCCCCGGTATCCCTTCAAGCCATTGGAATCTGAATGGTCTTTCCTTCAATAAACGTTTGCCTCTGTCTGTCTGTCTGTCTGTCTGTCTGTCTCTGTCTCTGTCTGTCGGTCTCTCTCTCTCTTTCTCTCTCTCTCTGGCCTTCTAAGTTATTTTTTCTAAGGAATCTGGCAACATTTTAAACAAACACCATGTCATTGTTCAGAGAAAGTTGTCTTGAAGTTTTCTGAGGGGTGTTTAGCAGTGCGTTTCTTGTTATTTCTTTTTATTGTTGTTGTTGTTGTTTATTTGTTTATTTGGTGGCCATACCTGGCAGAGTTCAGGGATTACTCCTGGTTCTGCTCTGAGGGATCGTTCACAGTGGAAATGAGGGAACCATTTGTGTTCTGAGAATCGGACCCTGGTTGGCGCCTTGTGCAAGGTGAATTTCCTACCTCCTGTACTATCTCTCTGGCCCCTAGCAGTGGATTTGAGAGAGAGAGAGAGAGAGAGAGAGAGAGAGAGAGAGGGAGGGAGCACTTGTTTAAAGTTCTTTTAGAAAAACCGCTAGATAAATTCCAAAGATTCAAATTTTCTGAGACCTACCTGCATAGATGCAAACAGTTGGAGGATGCTTAAGGGCAAAAGTCCTGCTAAACACAAGCTAAAATCAAGTGTCCTTTCTCCTACCAGAAGAGACCAACAGCCACAACCTTCAAGTAAGGGAAACTGACTCTGTGGATCAGGGCTAACCAGGGGTACCAAGGAAACTGCCAGATGTTCACACCGACTCCTGTAGAAGGTGGTAGCCCCACTGAACAGTTCAGTTAAAAGACAAAATAGAAGTGGCCAGGGCCCATCCCACCCCTGCCACACCTATTCCCAATGTCACCCAATTCTGGGATGTTCCTGTTTGGGCTGCTCATAGTTTAAAGTCAGTGGGTCTCTTTGAGACTTGTGAAGACACAGAATGCCAGACTCTAGTCACCATGTTTCTGGTTTAGCAGCTCTAGGAGGAATCCACGAGTCTAATAAACACACAGTGATGCTGCTGCAGAGGGTCACACTGTGGGAGTGACCAGCACAGGTCAAGTGCAGACTCTAGAATCACCTTCCCCTGCTCCAGAGGCTGGTCACATCCTGCCGGTGCCAGGGGCTCTTGAGAAAGTGAAACTCTCAGTTGCCTCAGGCCTCTCATGCAGTTACAAGGACACAGAGACTGGAGATGGGTTTCAGAGGTATGCATGTCTCAATGTGTGGGAGATGATGGGTTTGATTCCCTGGCACAGTAATTAATAAAAGAACATGGACCTGCTTTGTGGTGTATAAAGGGGTTTATGCTCTAATGCATGCAAAGCACAACCTAGTAGCTGCAAGTCCTACCTAAGTCCAGATGTTGTTGATGTCGTTGCTCTAAAACACTGAGATATGGGCCGATGTCTGCCTGATCCACCTCTAGCAGGAAGGGCTCCAATTTCCCTGAACTCCTGGACTCTTCAGCAAGCTGGACCTCTGGGATCCCGAAGGGACTTGTAAAACTGAATTTTTGCACTTTCTAGTTCTCAACACCAGATTGATTTGAATGCTCCCTCCACTGCCATAGAGTTTACATAGACAGTGATCTAAACACCTTACTCCACAGCAAAGCATTGTTTGGTGTTTGTGACTAGGAGAAAAATCAGCACAGACCAGAAACCTTCCTGCTGTTCATTCAAGCATGAAATTTGTTTGTTTTTATTTTTTGTTTGTGTGCTTGTTTGACCACACCAGGCAATGCTCAGGACACACTCCTGGCTCTGCACTCAGGGGTCATTGATCTGGCGGGGCTGGGGGTGGGAGGGCATATGGGATGCCAGGGATCAAACTCAGGTTGGCCACATGCGAAACAAGTGCCATGCCCGCTGTACTATCTCTCAGGACCCCAAACAGAGAATTTGAATATTGGGTGAATCTGGCTGTGTGCATTTAGACTCACAAACCTGCCAAACTTTTCAGACCCTCAGCAACTTCTAGCAGTTTGTCCAGTTTTCTCTTCCCTCCCTTTTATTTTTATTTTCTATAATTTTGAAACAAACAAACAAACAAAAATGAATCAAGAAGTCAGAGGAGTTAAACTGCTAGACTTGCTTTTTGTTTTTATTATCAACAATCAAGTTAATGGTACACTCTTGGAAAACTATATGCACATGTAGAAATATTTCCCTTTTAAATAGAAGCATTCATTATAACACATATAAATAAATCCGAAAATCTGAAACTTAACTTATGATGTTTATGTTCACAAACATAGTCCAACAAGAAGAAAAAAAAATAACAGACATGCACCTGATAACAAAAATATATACCATTGTCTGAACCGTGGTCTCTCTAAACACAAAGGAGTTGAACCTGTGAGAATCTTAGTACTCCATAAAGACACACCATAGAGACTACAAGAAGAGAAAAACATTATACTGTCACATAGAGGAGACGGCCTGTACTGATATTAACACGATACAATTGAATCACAGAACACAGTTGTAGAAAGACACAAAAAAGTTAAAGCCTCAACATTCAACTAATATCTATAGCTTGTGCCTTTTAAAATAAAAACAAAAACAAATCCCAACAGAGATGTCTAAAACTGCGCAAAGAATGGAATCATCAATATACAGTCCATCCACCAAACAGGACGTGAGTTCATCTCAAATCAAACAGAAATGCAAACTTCTGCCAACTTGCATCCGTGCCTTTGCTCCTTGCTGGGTTGATTTCTTTGCAGCCAGTCGTGGACTGCAATTGACTCCAATCCAAAGCAGTGCCAAAAAGTTCAGTAAAAGCTGGTGGAAGAAGAAAACGCCGGTAGAGGCATGGTGGTAGAGAAAAAAAGGCGGAAGAGGGTGGGGGGAGAGGTGAAGAAGAATCGCAAAATATGAGACACAGTTTGCAAAGTTTTGTGGATGAAAAGGCATCTCATGTATAGGGCATTGTTCGGGGCCGAGTGGCTGCAAAGTTTTGGGGCTGGGAGCTGCGACCCTGTGGGTTTCAAACGCGCTAACGGCGGGATGGTACTCGACGAGGTGGGACAGGCAAGCGGGCGTTAGGAATTCACCTTGGCCACGGGGACAGTCTACAAGAGTCATCTCCATGGCGACCAAACCCTAGGACACCAGGGGCGCGGGGGCTTCGGGGCGGTGGAAGGCGCTGGAGACTCCTGGAGGAGCGGCTGTACCGTCAGGAGGGCGCGAACGGAGGGGTCCACGGAGAGAGCCGAGGCACAGCGCCCGCTGCAACCTCCTTTTGACTAATTTCCCCTTGTATTTTAAAAAGTTTTTCAGATTTATTTGGGGGAGGGGGGAGGAGGACCGGTTTATTTTTAATGATCGCTGCCTTCCTAAGTTAAAAAGAAAATTTTTTTTAAAAAAAAAAGGAGAGAGGGGTATTAAGTTTTCTGTTTCTAAGCAAGTCACTGAGTTGGTTGTGCCTTCCCGCATCGCTCCCTGTCACCTGCTCGGGCCACAGAACACACGTTCCCGGGGACAGACACAGCGACACGCAGACACAGCCCCCCTGAGAGTCCCGGCGCTGTTCACACCTTCGCAAGAGCCCTGGCCGGCCCGTGCGTCCCCGAGGCAGGCGCGAACCAAGTGTTTCTGTTTTCGTTTAGTTTTGTTTGGGGGGAGGGGGGGTCTGGGGTGCAGATGCAGGATGGGGAGTGGGGAAGTGGGGTGGAAATGGGTGGGAGGGCGACGTCATTTTCTTTATTCGGATGGTGATTACTTTCCTGCGGAGCAGTGACGACAATAGCCCGGGGCCTACCCGCTCACCCGCTCGCTCGCCCGCCCGGGCCACCCCCCACCCCCGGCTCGCCCGCAGCCGCCGCCGCCGCTGCAGCCGCTGCAGGAGGCCCCGATCAAAACATACTGCTCTTCACTAAGGCGGCTTTCGCCCCGTTGGGTCTTTGGAGCGAGGAGAGGACGCTGGCGAAGGGGCCCCCCAGAGAATCCGGGATGGAGGTGATGGGGCCCGGGCCGGGCGCCCAGCCTTGTCCAGGGCCCC